TATCTCCGATTTTGATGAAATTTGCACCACAGGTGCACCTTGGTACAAAACCAGCAAATATGGTGTTAGAAGTTTTCCACGTGTACCCGGTTGCCATGGAGACGGATCCATTGAATTTGGCCATTTTCGACCATTTTTGACCAAACAAAAACATGAAAATTGAGGAAATATGAATGCATTTTTATCTTTATGTAGTGAACTCAAATATAAATCTTTGGATCATAAGAAAACATCAACTGTTAAAGAATACAGGGGATATAACCAGTTATTCCAGAATTGACCCCACTCTAGAAAACGGTTCTGCAAAATAGCACAGTTTCTCAAAATGTGAAAAATGGACAATTTGGCATTTTTGAGAAATTTAAGGTTAAATAAAAAAAATTGTCTATGGAAATTTTTCAGATCATATGCGTGTCGTCAAACGTCAGTATTAGTAGTGTCCCCTCATGAAAAAATTGGAGTGGGATCTCAATGCTATTTTTAGAAACATGTCTCTAAAAATAGACATATTTAAAAAAAACCAAAAAATGAAATTTGGGCAGAGTTTAAGATGCCATAGCTAGGTAATTATGATATATACTGTAAAAGTCAATATGCTAATGTCAGAGACTGCACACCAATAACTACCACGCATATTATTTTCAGGGATTTCCGTTTTCTATTTCTAGCTTCAAATGCCTAAATATAGACAGGTCTCATAAAATGACGAAAAATGTCAATTTTCCATCATTTTGAAGCTCCACTGAATCATAAATAATGAAAATATGGATCTCTCCAATATTTCATCAATAAGAACAAGGAATAGTATAATGTCTCATAAATTATTGAGGACAGGCTCTCAAATCTATAAATAGTACAAATGTCTAAATGTAGACACATATGAAATTAACTGTTTAATGTTGATTTTCCACTAATTCTCAAATTAGAGATAGGAAATTTACCAACTTCCTGTCATTAACTGTAACTGATATAATATGACTGACAAGAACAAAAAGAACATTCAATGGAATGCAGCATGATAAGCAGAGGTTTCCATTTCTATTTATAGTAACACATGTTTAAAAATAGACATAATGCAAAATATCGGGAAAATGTCGTTTTTGTACTTTTTTCTAAAACTTTGGATGAATAATTGCTGACTATATTTTTTTAACTGCTATTGGCATCTAGTGACCAACAAGTAAAAGAAAGCATATAAGAAATACAGAATGAGAAGCAGAGGTTTCCATTTCTATTTATAGTAACACATGTTTAAAAAATAGACGTACTGCAAAATATTGGAAAAATGTAATTTTTTGTACTTTTTTCTAAATTTTTGGATGAATAATTGCTGACTTTCTGTTTTTAACTGCTATTGGCATATGGTGACCAACAAGTAAAAGAAAGCCTTATAGTAAATATAGAATGAGAAGCAGAGGTTTCCATTTCTATTTATAGTAACATGAGTTTAAAAATAGACATACTGTAAGCTATCGGAAAAATGTAGTTTTTTGTACTTTTTTCCCCTCACATTTTGGATGAACAATTGCAGACGATATGTTTTTTTACTGCTATTGGCATTCAGTGACCAACAAGGAAAAGAAAGCATACATGAAATACAGAATGAGAAGCAGAGGTTTCTATTTCTATTTATAGTAACACATGTTTGAAAATAGACATGCTACAAATTCTCGAGAAATTGTAGACTTTCGCGCTTTTTTTTTTCTAACATCAGGGATGGTCAAAGTGCAGACAAATGGCTTTTATTTGTTATTGACAGAATGTGACTAACGAGTATAAAAAAGCTTTTGCTAAAGTGTATAAGAATAATGTTTAAGGGTAATTTTACATTTCTGCCTATAGTAACAAATATTTATAAATAATCAGGTAAATAAATAATCTTCCGTTTTTCTAAAAATTAGTGATATGAAATTTGCAGTCAAACTTTCATTAGCTTAACTGACATGGCTAATTGTATTCGGCGCGCCATCGCGTCCACCTCATTCCAATACATGTATCACAAAAGTATGTTCTCCCTGCATTAAAACACTCAAATGACAGCGATTTTCTGTATAAATTAAGCATTATCGTTTATATTCAGGTCGACAGCCCGAGCCTGATTGAATTTTTTTGTTAGTTGGATCCAGAAAATTTTCCCTAGGAGGCGGTGGCTCAAATCACTATGTCAGTTTAAACTAGAACTGTCCAAACGGGACTAAATACCCCCGCTGGGCTTTTCAAAGGTGCTAAATCATGAATATTTAATGGATCTAAAAGAAGAGAGAAATGCTAAAAAATTTTTAATGCAAATGTAATTGCTCATAATATTTTCATAAATGAAACGAAGGCGCATCCTAATTTAAAAAAAAAAAAACAGACTAAACATACGGACCAGACACGAATTATGAACTTTTTCTGCCAGTGACCTTGACCTTGCATTAATGACTTTGGATCAAAGTCATGATAGAAAATCAGATAATTAGAAATTTTTTTGTTAAGTAGTTTAGCCATAAAAAAGATATGGACCATACACAAATAATCAAAACTTTCTTCAAGTGAGCTTGAACTTCCCCAAATGACCTTGCGTCTAGGTCATGACACATTCTTAGGTCATGAGCAATCTTTGTGTGAAATGAGAACCTACCAAGTTCATCGATAAGAAAGATATGGAGCGGACACGAATTATGAAATTTTTCTTCAGTGACCTTGAATTTCCCCAAATGACCTTGGGTCAAGGTTAAGACACAATCTTAGGTCATGGGAAATCTTTGTGTGAAATAAGAACATGCCAAGTTTATCCGTAAGAAAGATGTGGACCGGACAAGAATTAAATTTTTTTCAGTGACCTTGAACTTCCCCAAATGTCCTTGGACCAATATCAGTTAAAGTTAATGACAGGAAGTCAGTAAATTTCCTATCTCTAATTTGAGAATTAGTGGAAAATCAACATTAAACAGTTAATTTCATATGTGTCTATTCTTAGACATTTGTACTATTTATAGAGATGAGAGCCTGTTCTCAATAATTTGTGAGATATTATACTATTCCTTGTTCTTATTGATGCAATATTGGAGAGATCCATATATTTATTATATATGATTCAGTGGAGCTTCAAAATGATGGAAAATTGACATTTTTCATCATTTTATGAGACATGTCTATATTTAGGCATTTGAAGCTAGAAATAGAAAACGGAAATCCCTGAAAATAATATGCGTGGTAGTTATTGGTGTGCAGTCTCTGACATTAGCATATTGACTTTTACAATATATTTCATAATTACCTAGCAATGGCATCTTAAATTCTGTCCAAATTTCATTTTTTGGACTTTTCTGAAATATGTCTATTTTTAGATACATGTTACTAAAAATAGCATTGAGATCCCACTCCAATTTTTTCATGAGGGGACACTACTAATACTGACGTTTGACGACATGCATATGATTTGAAAAATTTCCGTAGACAATTTTTTTTATTTAACCTTAAATTTCTCAAAAAATGCCAAATTGTCCATTTTTCACATTTTGAGAAACTATGCCATTTTGCAGAACCGTTTTCTAAGAGTAGGGTCAATTCTAGAATAACTGGTTATACATGTATGTCCTGTATTCTTTAACAGTTGATGTTTTCTTATGATACAAAGATTTACATTTGAGTTCACTACATAAAGATAAAAATGCATTCATATTTCCTCAATTTTCATGTTTTTGTTTGGTCAAAAATGGCCGAAAATGGCCAAATTCAATGGATCCGTCTCCATGGCAACCGGGTGCACGTGGGAAACTTCTAACACCATATTTGCTGGTTTTGTACCAAGGTGCACCTGTGTTGCAAATTTCATCAAAATCAGAGATATGTCGTTTCAAGATTTTTTGTTGCTTACAGAGAATGCATGTTAATGCAATAATTTTGTGATTAAACGCTATAATATTGCAATTAAACGCAATACTTTCGCGAAAAAACGCAATACCTTAGCAATTATTCTTTATGAATAATAATAAAAAAAAAGATTAACAAAAATGAACATTTAACTTGGTTTCTCATACTAGTGACCTTGCTAAAGTATGTTTGAGGGTTTTGAACTATAGACGTGATGAAAAATGAAACATTAGCAAAGGATCTAATAACCAAGTCTTGTAGTAAATGTGATGATTCAACTTTATTATCGTCAACTTTTCTTACCTATGCAGCATTATATCTTCATCACCTGCATTCAAGGTTAATATCTCTTAGATGACTCGATAGAGACAAACAACTTCTAAAACAAGGTTTTTTTTTAATTAAAGTTGATGAAAACACTATGAGCAGTATCGTTTAAAATTATCTTTTTTTAGATTTGCTATGGTCGATAAAACGACCTAGTCAGCAGATACAATCTATCATTAAGTAAAATGCTGACTGCTTTTTTTATACTTAATGATAGACCATTATTTAATCACTGAATTGTCAACGGATTTTTCCATATTTCCTGTGTGTGACCAATTGGGTGTGACACCTAATTCACCTCTCCTGTTTTTTAGTTCCGTGTTTGCTCTGCTTCAGAGTTTGCATTGTTTAATGGACTTTTGAGCTTGAATACTGTCTATTATCTCCATTTATTTTATACAGGAGTTGCATACAAAATTTTATAATAAACCTTATTTCATAAGAATTTTAACCCGCACTTATAGTAGTGCTATCACAAGTTACCATGAACTAGTAAAAGAATAGTTTTAGCCTTGCTGAGCTATATATATAGAAATATGAACAGACACAATAACATTTTAAATTTTAAGCTATGTCTTTTAGAATCAGTTTTCGGATATTTTTCCCAATATTTGTTTACCGAGGATTACGATGTATTTCAAAATAAGTAGTTGAGTGATTTCGTACACAATAACGCGGATTTTTTGATAATGTAAGTAATGTATTTTTGTGAATATTGGTTAAACATATGCAAGCACATGTTACTCTGTATCCAATGAATAAGCCAGGGGAAAGATATAAATATTAAAATAATCACAGTGATGCCTCAGTTTTACAAACTTTGTCCGCGTAGTTGTTTGCAGACCATTGTTCAGGTAAATAATTTCTGTTGCCAACTTTTATATTACTTTTCAGATCAAGACTGGCATACCATTTCAAAGTTGTTGATATTTGAAACAATATCAAATGTTTATTGTTTTTTATTTTAACTCGTAGTCTTATATTTTCTTTCTTTTAAAAATAATATAGGGCATATTTCTAATAACTAAATTTTCTTTAAGTCTTCTGCAAGAAGACTATTTTTGTTATCTATATGTTATCTATAATAGGAATACGCCCCCAATGTATCTCAATTGATAGGGGCCAGTAAAGAACCCGAGTGCCGAGTGAAGGTCTAATCTTGATTCCCTTCACAAGTATTTGATGGTGTCTCTAATTGAGTGAAGAATTCTTGAATGGGACTTTAAACAACCAATAATCAATCATTAAATGCAAACACCACTGCACATATCTTCCAGTCGATATGAATCGTACCTTTAAATTTTTTTTGCACCTTTCAAAAACGCATATTGCACTGTTGTTGGTTCTTAATTTCTTAAATTCACGCAAGTGCTTCTCATGTCGGCAATAGCATTATTATACCAATATTTAACGTTAGTCTATGTTTACAGGTATATTCAATAAAGTAGGTCTTTCATGTAAATAACAATGGCTTGAACAATTATATTGATAGAATTAACGGGAAAATGTACATACAATGTTTTATTCTAATGCAATTGTTTTGTAAAACACTTTTTGATTGGTTAATGCACTGATGTTTGAAGCAGTAAAACGAGCATTAACGAGCGTGAAAGCTTTTTCATTGTGACGTCATAATAGAGCGACGCAAAAACACAATGCACTGTGACGTACTTTATTAACAAAATTCAACAAAAAAAGACATAAACAATAAACAAAATGCATGGATTGCATTAGAATGGGAATAACTAATCTTCTAATTTGGTATTTGCGACCGTTAATGCTGATTTAACGGTCGCAAACATCCGTTTTACCGGCTCCGCTTACGCGTCGCCGGTAAAACTCAATTTGCGACCGTTAAATCAGCATTAACGGTCGCAAATACCAAATTAGAAGATAGTTATTCCCTAATTTTTCTAACTTTAAGAAAAGCTAGGAGTTTTGTGATAAATCTAAGAAAATAATTGACTTTTGTGAATTCAGCAATTGAGTTTTCTTTTTTATTGAAGTTTTCTTTAAAACACGATATAACTGAGAATATTCTTATTTTCAGATGTCTGACATTAATAAAAGCTAAGAGTTTTGTTTTAAATCTCAGAAAATAGTTGATTTTTATAAAACTGCAGCAATTGGGTTTCTTTTTATTGCAAGTTTCCTTTAAAAAAAAACGACGTCACTGAGAATATTCTTGTTTTCAGATCTTATTTAAGAAATAAGGTATCATTTTTAGAGTTTCACTGATATATGACATGAAATCGGTCACGTGATCAAATTCTGTAACGCCCAAATGGCGTTATGGTGCATTTGCTCACGTACCGACCTTAACTCATTCCCAATGAAACTCTAAAAAAATGATATTTCATTTCTGATATATATATATATTTTTCATTTTTTATTCGTGTGACTAGGAGAAATATGCACTATTTAGACTTTGTTAATGGAATAAAACATAACGTATCTACAGCGTCTTGTGAGGTCACAATCTTAACTTTCCAAATGACTCGTGCAGTTTGCTTTTCATATGCAATAAAATCGGATCATATGACCAACTGCATGTCGTTGAAAATTGAATTTCAATTTCATTATCATTGTTATATAAGGAAAGACACCAGCAAATGTAAATATTAGTTTATAAAACTGACATATATTTCCCAAGAATACCATTCTGTAAGATCGAGCGTGTGCATTTCAGCAAAAAATGTTAAAGTTCCTAGTTTCCAAAGCTCGGGAGCGCAGTTGAATTGTATATTTGCGATGAGCAGCAAAAATGATTGTTATTACAATGTATTTCTTATTTCAGGATATGACAATGATTCTTCGCATTCTTTTGGTTTTGGCTTTGGTGTCTTTTGCCGAAGGCTGCAGCATTTTCTTTCAAAGGAACACTTGCACGTGTCGATGCGGCGATTTCTTCGACATCTGCGATAATGGCTGCAAAAGAATAAGCGGTATTTGGGGTACAACTTGTTCGTACAACTGTGCTAAACTGCTGAGGAGCTGTTTGAACAATTGTCCAAAGTAAAATGTTTTGAAATTATTTCACTACAAGCGGGATATCAGCTGATAAATAGTTTGAAGATGCAGGATAACCAGTAGCAACTTATGAATTCTGAAATATTATGCATATATATTGACTTTAAAATACCTTTCGATTGAAGACTTTCCTTGAAACAAATTTACTATTACTGTACCTTTTCTGTAAATGGAATAAAAATTGTTGCAATCAATTGTCTTAGATTATTTTGTCTCAAGTATTTTTTTTTATTTTCCTAATGCTACTTTCAAAAAAGGCATTTTGATACCATCTTAAAAGGAAAAGAATCGTTGGTATGCATGCCAATAGTATGAAATAGAAATATTATTCAACCTACTCTTTTATTAATAAAATAAAACAAGTTGTACCGGTCCAGGCGCCCGAACGGTAACTTGTGTTTGATACAAAATTGCAAAAGATCCATGGAATGACATATGATTAATTATATTAAAAAAAATTAGCAAGTGCAAGCATAATGTATCAAGAAAACGTAGTGACTCTGAAAATAGATCTGATCTTTTCCTTATGGAAGAACTATTTATGTGCTTAGATAGAAGCAAAATTATATTATTGTCGTCCTGTACAATATTAAATTCTTATATAATACTATACATTCCATTGCATAGAAATGATTTTTTCTAAAACAATTTATACTTTTTTAAGTCTAACTCATAATAAATGTTTTAATTACATACACATTTATTGTAACAATACATTTTGAAAGCAAAATAAAATTCTCAAAAATGCAGCTCATATTGCTTTAATATTCTTTTATCATAATTTTCTTTGATTAGTAGGGCTAGATTGATTTCTTATTCACCTTTTGCAAAGTTCCATTAGAAGCGAAAGTCTCGGGTTTTTCGGATAAAACCTGAAAGCCAAGAACTCGTATCACAGGTGTCACAACAGTATTAATTTCTGCTATATATTCTTACCAAAAAATGCGCAAGTTTGACTAGATGTAACTAATTCAGAACAAACTTCTGAGAAGTTTCCTTTTCAGATCTTGTAAAATCATTCTTTATAAAGATTTTAGTACCAAAAAATACGAGCCATCCAGCAAGGCACGCAAGTTTGTTTCGGTCGAAGTTGAGCAGGTGCTTGAAAATCTAGTCCAGGGCCTAATCACTCCCCACTCTTGACAGTATACAGAAAGATCAGCACGCCCTAAATTTTAATAAATCTGGTCAATACAGGAAGTTTACATGTTGTTTTTCATCTCATAAAATTTTCAGCTCCAGTCTCGTATCAAAATGCCCGAATCGGAAGGGAAGATTCAGGGATTATTTTGCGTCAGCCATGATTTGATGTGAACCAAAGTGTAATACTGTTATGACACCAGTAGGCGTTTGCACCATCAAGAAAAATAATTTGTACGATGAGTTCGAATGCCGAGTAAGTGTTACAAAAAGAGTATAAACTTATCAATAACTATTTTTAATGTAACAATTATTGTGACATCTGTGTGAATGGGAGTTAGCCTAAAACAGAAAAATTATAAACGAACAAAACCTTTTTGGAGTAAAAATTTTTAATGATACTTTTCCTTTACTTTGTTGTCTAAAATACCTTTGGTAATCCAATATTTGTTAGCAGTAGGAATACTGTGAAATCACAAATTTTCGTGGGGTTTAATTTTGCTGTTTTCGAGGTATCAAGAGTCCCAAGAATTAATGACCGCCACTAAATTTAAAATGTTGCATTTATAACTACTAACAATTTTTCATCCAAAAAATCAAATCCCCATGAACTAAGAGTTTTTTCTCAAATCCCCAAAAATTTATCCGCACGAAAATATATGATTTTACAGCATACAGTGCAATACGGAAGCGCGTTGAGGCCAGTTCAAAGAAAGATATATTTTTATTGTGTTTAATCGCAATAGTTATTGCGTTTAAAAGCAAAAGATTGCGTTCAATTGCAATAATTATTGCGTATAAACGCAATACATTGCGATTAATCGCAATAATCATTGCGTTTAAACGCAAAGCACTGTGTTTAAATGCAAAATGAATACTTAGGAGGATTATTGCGTTAAAATACCAAGAGTACTGTGTTTAAGTGCAAAAAATCATTGCGTTTAAATGCAAAAAATTATTGCGATTAAACGCAAAATCATTGCAAATAATCGCAATATTATTGCGATTAAACGGAAAGTTATTGCAATTAAACGCAAAATTATTGCGATTAAACCTAAAAATTATTGCATTCAATCGCAAAACTATTGTGTTCAATCGCAAAACTATTGCGTTTAATTGCAATTTTATTGCGTTTAAACGCAAAAATTATTGCGATTAAATGCAAAGATATTATTGCAAAAATATTAAATGCAATCTTTTGCGATTAAAAGCAAATTAAAGGCAGAGATTTTTTACCGGGTGGTAAATTCCAGGTGAGGTAGGGGCTTATTCTGTTCAGGTGTGAATGCCTTGGGGGCTAGCATTCTATCTGTGGTCATTTGTCTGCTAATCCCTTTATACAGGAAGTGATTAAATACACAGTGAAATACCCCAGCTGTCAAACTTTACCTGTGTTGGAGATCTTGAGAAATTTTCTCTATACTACGTTCAGTAAACATCAAAGGATCAAAAGTTAATTTGAAGGTCCACACGAGTGCCAAACAAGGTGTACAGGGTATACACAGGTACTACTAAGTAAATGTCAATCAAGTCCTAGCAGCCAATGATGTACTTCGCGCACTTGATTGACAGGGGCTACCCAGACCACGTACTTTTGAAGGTGGTGCTTAAAATCGCTGCCTTTAAGTACTTTGCGTTTAAACGCAATAATTATTGCGATTAATCGCAATCTTTTGCGTTAAAACGCAATGATTTTTGAATAAAAAAATCTTTCTTTATCTGAATTGGCCTCAACGGGCTTCCGTAGTGTAAACCTTGTTATTCAGAAAATTATTTGTAAAAGAATATTGTCTTGATCCTTGAAACACAGGATGGGAGATAAGGTATCAGAAAGAAGAACCTGGAACTTGTAATACACGTATTATTTTTTTAAAAGCATTAAATGCTTTTACTCGCGATTAATGTTTAGAAATCCTCATACCTTAGAGTATTTTAATGTTATAATTATATATATATATATATATATATATATATATATATATATATATATAATTTAGGGATGTCAAATCGGTCAATTTTTAATACTCGGTTACTCGGACGTTCTTCCGATCGAGTACCCCGGTACTCGGTAAAAGTGTAAATAAATATGAACAAGTAAATTGAAGACTGTCATTGTAAACTCTCAAGTAGAAACTTAAACCAGATGCATTGATAAAAGGCTTACCCGTAAGTAATAATGATGAGCACTTCGTGCCCGACGAAATTTAATATAACATTTTTTAAAGTTCAATATATTTATCAGATAAACACAAGAAATAAAATTATAAGTGGTTCACAGTGTTTTTGTTTAAAAAAAATAATCTGCCCCGCAATTGTAATGTTACTCTTTGTCGCGTTTGACGATCAGGTATCAGTCGTCAGAGCTACGTACAGTATCAACTTGAACTTGATCAATTTCTCCTAACAGAGCGGATTTACGATTTTCGTACACTTTTTCGATCCTAGATTTTATAAGACGGGACGGTATTTTGTAGTTTGGTGCAACGACGGACATCAGTTTTTTAAAGCCTTTGCATCCAACCATGCAGTTGTATTGGCATGTAATCAAACACAACCATATCAACAATCGCACGTGTAATATCATCGCTTTTTTATCCAGAATTTACGGCCTCTCGGAGAATTGACAAAATTATCTAATTTATTTAAGCATAATAGACCTAAACGATGTTCATTGAAAACAATTAATTAAAGCCAAACAAAAAATAAGGGTAGAAGACCGAGGGCCGAAGGTGAGAAAAGTCAGGTACCCCAGTTGCTTGGTCACGATAATTACTGTATAAACACTGCCAAAGGCGATAACGGTCATTTAGAGTTGTAGTACACCCTAATTACTGTATGTACAAGTGCAATGAGCATTTTACGTTTTAAAACAGATTGTTTAATGCATTTATAAATAAGCTTCGAAATATTCAAAAATATACATCCGAGTAACCGAGTACCGATTTTAGTATTCGATACTCGGACGTTCGATCGAGTACCCGGTTAACCGGGTACTCGTTGACATCCCTAATATCTATCTATATATATATATATATATATATATATATATATATATATATATATATATATATATATATATATATATATATATATATATATATATATATATATATATATATATATGTTATTTTCAAAGAATTGAACAGGAAAGAATGCATTTTTCAAATTGTGCCTGACGTCCGAAAAATATCTTTTTGCGTACTTTTTCTAACATTTCTCTTTCTCATTTAGATTCTTCAGTTTTCTATTTATTGTATCATTTGAAGTCAAAACAAATAAATTTTTCTGTAAAAAAAAATATCAAAGCCTTTATTTCAGGATTCTTCTGTTTGACTTGTATATGCACAAATTTGATCATAATTTCCTTCCTCGTCTGTGACGTAAATTCTGGAGACAACGTTAATTTTTCCATTGAGAAGGAGTGCGTTGTAGTTGTTTGAGGCCACTGTCATATGAGAATAGTCTTCTTGCACAGATTCATGACCAGCATTGTTTATGGTCTGATTTCTTCCCAATCCTGTATAAAATATTTTTATGGTTTTAAAGACTGCTAGGATAATTTTTTTTAAAAGTTTCTATGGCAACCCCTCCCCAAATATCTTTACCTATTTTTATAGTTTAGAAAGTCTTCCTTAGAATTTTTATAATTTTTTGTTCAGTGTTTGTTTGCATTTAAGTACTCACTTCTTAAATACTGGTGTAGACACTTTAATCTGTAGGAATAAAAAATCATTTTTAAAACAAAAAAGGCTTTAGTTTTATGCAAGAAGATATATAAATAAAGTAAAATTGACATGGTACTACTTTAGACGAGTTTACCTGGTACTGAATGTTATAAAACTTAGGTTTCAATGATAATTTGATATACCTGTATATGTATAGCCCTAAAGCACAGATCTGCATTAGACCTATGGTATATGTTAATGTGTACGCACACTCACCTTTCATTGTAAAAGAAGACAATAATGGCTAGAAATGATCCGACACTGATAATTATTCCCATTATAACAGCAACAACTGTACTAATGTATGATCGTTCGTTCAATCCAGTTCTTCCTGAACCCGAGGAGAATAAAGCAAAATGTAAAACATTGTCAGATTTTTAACAAAAGTATCTTTTACCTGTAGGTAGTTTAAATTAATTTTAAAAATACATATGGTACCATCTCAAGCTACTCGTACACCATTACAACTTAAATGTGATAAACATTAAAAAAGAAAATCAAACATTAGACGTGAACGATTGCAAAGCAGAACAGGTACCAAAAACAGAAATCTCCAGCACCAATAACATTTGTTGTGTCTTTCTTTTTTTCAGCATTTAAAAGACTTTTCGAGAATGACAAATATTTCAAGACAACCCCTTATAATATCGTCAGGGGTAGAAACAAAGCATAATTAGCCTAGTAGGATACATGTGTCAGCATAAGTGTTTCATGTAAAAGATTCTAGAATGTGAAATGAAAAGAAAATACATGTAGTATCTACATTAAAGGATGGTTATTTATTGCTTAACGACTACAAAATGTTTATCTCAAATGGTTAGTAATATAATGATCAAAACAAATAAACTTAGTTGTTTTAAAAAATAGGCTTACTTGAACTTGTTTCAATATATTTAATTTTTGCTGTTTATAAAATATTTGATTTGAAAGTCTTTTGTGCTTGATAGAGATATCTATCTGACGCAATTTAAAGAAACTTTAAATGAAGAACAATTCTGAAAGATCACCAAATTCATACTTTAAAAAAGCCTATCAATGCAAATGTCTCAATTTGCCCTCACAACCTTTCAAATAGAGTTGTTAAAGTGAAACAAGGTTGTGTATCATTTCTGTAAACTAGTCATCAAAAGGATTTTTTTTTAAATGAGTAAAATGACATAATATTTCAAACATTCCTTTTTAACAAGAAGTGAGGGAAAAATTGGCAATACTTGTATATTAAAATAGACTAACATGACATTGACAGTAAAATTTTACTACCAATTAATATTCAAGCAGTAAGGAACATACATCCAGTTTCTATAAACATGCATGTTTTTGCATTTATTTTAATAGCAAACATTATTGCAATTACATATCAAAATACTTTTGGAAAAAAGTATTCTATCCAAAAAATACCCTTCACTGTATCATAAGCACACCCAATCTTCCTGTCACAGTACTGTGCAAAGGTACAGTTACATTTACTCAGAGACGCAATTTAAAGAAACTTTAAATGAAGTACAGTTCTGAAAGATCACCAAATTCATACTTTAAAAAAGCCTATCAACTGCAAATGTCTCAATTTGCCCCCACAAACTTTCAAATAGAGTTGTTAAAGTGAAACAAGATTGTGTATCATTTCTGTGAACTAGTCATCAAAAGGAGTTTTTTTTAAATGAGTAAAATGACATAATATTTCAAACATTCCTTTTTAACAAGAAGTGAGGGAAAAATTGGCAATACTTGTATATTAAAATAGACTAACATGACATTGACAGTAAAATTTTACTACCAATTAATATTCAAGCAGTAGGGAACATACATCAAGTTTCTATAAACATGCATGTTTTTGCATTTATTTTAATAGCAAACATTATTGCAATTACATATCAAAATACTTTTGGAAAAAAGTATTCTATCCAAAAAATACCCTTCACTGTATCATAAGCACACCCAATCTTCCTGTCACAGTACTGGGCAAAGGTACAGTTACATGTACATTTACTCAGAGACGCAATTTAAAGAAACTGTAAATGAAGTATAGTTCTGAAAGATCACCAAATTCATACTTTAAAAAAGCCTATCAACTGCAAATGTCTCAATTTGCCCCCACAAACTTTCAAATAGAGTTGTTAAAGTGAAACAAGATTGCGTTTCATTTCTGTGAACTAGTCATCAAAAGGAGTTTTTTAAGTGAGTAAAATGACATAATATTTCAAACATTCCTTTTAAACAAGAAGTGAGGGAAAAATTGGCAATACTTGTATATTAAAGTAGACTAACATGACATTGACAGTAAAATTTTACTACCAATTAATATTCAAGCAGTAGGGAACATACATCAAGTTTCTATAAACATGCATGTTTTTTGCATTTATTTTAATAGCAAACATTATTGCAATTACATATCAAAATATTTTTGGAAAAAAATATTCTATCCAAAAAAATACCCTTCACTGTATCATAAGCACACCCAATCTTCCTGTCACAGTACTGGGCAAAGGTACAGTTACATTTACTCAGACATCCAAATCCAAAGTAGCCATACAGACATGGTCCTCCTGTACAGCTATCTCCATATGCTCCTATTTCACAGGCTGTTACATTCAAAAAGTATGTTAAAGATGTTTAAAATCACTCAGTAGTCTACTTTGTTTCCCTAATAATAGCATGTCTGATCTTGTATTGATATACCGGGTATTTTTTGTAAAGTGGAACAGGATTGCAGTTTGTGTACATAACGCTTGATTTAAAACAAAAAATAAATTGTTAAAGTAAAATGAAAATACAAGAATTTTAATGCAATACGCATAATCTTCAGTCAAGGACCAAGAACAATCAAACGGATGCTGTGTTACAATGGAAAATGTAATAACAATGCCAACTATAATTGATTGTAATTATTTTATTTTGCGCTATTACATTTTCTTAAATTATGAAGCAAAAGTATATACACATGTAAAACAAAATGTATTAATCCTGAAAGTCCGTAATTACATTTTTGTTATTACATTCTGCGTTGAACTCGACTCAAAATGTAATATTCCCGGATTATTATATTTTTTGCGGTGTTATGACAATTCGCAATGTTACAGTGAGGCAAATGAACAATGTTTGTGTAATTGTATGGCCCATATATATGCAATGAAAATCTGTCTAAATTATACTGAGCATGTATGTTACGTAATTGATTAAGATGAAAGAATAGGACAGAATAGTCGCTACACAAACTCAAGAGAGACTGAACTTTACATTTTTGATTTTTCATTACATCTAACATCAATTGAGTAACTGGTATCACATATTTAGTCAGAAATACATCTACTAGCATTTATTTCAAGAAAAATATTTAAATGGAAGAGAAAAATGAAATTCATAAATTAGATTGGCTATGATTCATAAAAGAGTTTACTTATCACAATAACATTTATCCATAATGATAAGTGCGTTAATTTTTCTTTCTACATGTATGAATATAATTAATTCAGTAAAATCAAGGAAATCAAGTCGTATAAGGAAGTCCTTCACGATTTGAATGAAAATCACATGCAAGTAAATACTACTATTAATTCTGAAACATTTACATGGAAATAAGTTTGTAGCGCCGAATATATTTAGATTTAATCAAAACATCAACTTACGTGTGCAGAAGTCGCCATCTTGTCGATAATTTGTACAACATTGTAGAGTTTCTCTAAAGTTAGACGTTATGATTCAAGAAGGCAATTTTTACTTTCACTAGCTAGAAGTACAAAATGAAAAGACTAGTCTAAAAGATATCTAACATTTTGTAAATTTACTTACTCGCTCTTCTTGCAAACACCAAGTCCTACGGAGAGACAGCTTATCAGATGAACCAAAATTAACAGTAAAGCAAATATACAAAGCGGCTGATTTCTCTTCATAGTAAATCAATATATATTCGGGTCTTGAATTATAGTAATATCTGTATGCATACAAGTGTATATGGATAACAATACTAAATAGCCATTTCCTTCCGATATCTTTTACAATAAGGAAATTATATAAAATGATAATCTAAAAAGTTAAAAAGTTCAATTATGCTTCACTTTTTTCTCACAACTTATATCTCATTTCTCATTAATCAAAAATTGATCACGCCGCGCCCAATCGTTGACACTCTTTAATATCGATTTAAAGTATCCATTCTGTTTATTGTAATTTTTTGTATGAAGCGTGACCTTCTTGCGCAATATAAAACTTCAGATATGAAGATGGGTAGTACTACATACTTTGTTTATATAACATAAGTTGTCTAATTCTGTTTGATATTCTCGATCATACCATGCATTGACTTAATTTGTTTTGTCATGGACTTATTTATAAAAAATGATTTAGATACTTTTCTTTCTTTTTTTTCATTTGCGTGTAACTTTTTTTAAAACCGAAAAACGTCAAAAAAAGACCAAAAAAACCGTTAAAACTTTATGATAAAGCTGCTTTTTTAACGGGCATTGTCCACTTCGTCTTCTTTTGTTCAAGTTTACTGTCTTCATTTACCATTTAAACCATTTACTAGTATTTATTTATTTAAAGAATAGCTCTCTGATCATAAAGATGGAAAGTTTTATCTTAAAGTTATTAATTCTATTTAAGAATGATGGTGTTATTATTTTTAATTTCTGTGTGCTAATTTGACTTTATTCTCAGCTATAAATGTTTTAATTGCCTGTATGAAAATACTGCAAGGAACATGAAGACAGTAAACGTGAACAAAAAAAGATGAAGTGGACAATGCCCGTTAAAAACACCTTTATCATTTAGTTTTAACGGGTTTTTTGGTCATTTTTGACGTTTTTCATATTTAAAAAAAAAAGTTATACGCTGTATACATGTAGTTGATTGTAAAATGTCGGAATAACCTTTGGCAGACGTGCATTTAAGATTGCAATAAACGAAAACGTTAAACACATTTTTTTAAAAATTGCAACAGAAAACTTTTGAAAATAACACAAACATCTAAAATTTAAAAAAAAATCATTATTTGTAATGATTTTGTGGTGAAGATTTTCTGATAAAGGAATACATTCTTAGAAGATATAACAAGTAGAAAAGAGATTAATGAAACTTATAAATTTGATAACTAAAGTACTAGTACTAGTATTATGTACGCATATAGTGTACATGTAATATAAATCACACATTCATTTTTTGTCTGGGAAAGTTTCTCATGGTGTCGTTAAGTGTTGATGTTCAAAGTTTAAACACTAAGTGAGGTCATCCTTTTTTTTTAAAAATTCCCCTTTTTAGACAAGGAAGTATCATATGTATACAAGTCTACAATATTTTTAGGATATTTCATGCTATATGCCAGTGTGTTATTGCATATTGGTAAATTATTGTTTTTGCAAAGCTGTTTTCATTGAATTTTTTTTTTTATAAATGTACTATTTATGCATGTGTATGTCGTGTACAGAGAAATTAATTTTAAAGTGTTATTTTTAAATTTTTAAATTTTGTTTTGGTAGATGGTGAGGTTCACATCAACATAAAATAGAAATCCCCAGACAATCCATTGAGAAAATAATAGCGTTGAAATAAGTATGAAAAACGTCATTCAGCATTTGACTTATTTGTAGATTGCCTTTGCTGACAAGGTCATTGTATTGAGTATAAAACATGCAAAATAATGCCTTATAATGATCCTGTTGAAATTCTCGATTCTTTTGTCAATATCTTATCCCGTTTTAGACATTTGATGAACGAATAACATGCTCTAGTATATAGAATAAACTGAGAAATATCAACGCCACATATGAAGCTGATTGCAAAAGGATAAAGGGAAGTAGAAAATTGAAAAGCTTAAATCACCACATTTTCTAAAAAGCTGTATTGTTATTGCCAAAAACGTCTTTTCTAGCAACTCTTTTTATACCAGTGAATGAAATTTAAATAGACTTTCACAGGACGTTTGTTTCATAGTGCCATTGTGCACTCTTTGATCAGACACATATTTCGGCTTTCCCATAACAAAACAAGTGGGCACTGCCATTCATTCTATAATATTGAGGGCAACACCTCCTACATCATTGTATAATGTTCAATATTTTCATAGATTCTTTATTACACAGTGCCATTGTGCACCTCCTATATTACATTTTGATCTGTCACTTATTTTGGGTCTTCCATATTAAAAAATGACCTTTGACATAATGATCATATAAAACTTAGCGGTATCTTTTTGTGAGATCATTGCTCACAGTACCTCTAAGTTTCTTTTTTATATTCATAATGATTATGAAATATGTTCAACGAATTTTTCACTGTTCCCAATCCTATGAAAAAATATGTTAAGTGTCATTCATGAGCAAATGTGCGAAATGATAAGTGCCATTCTTGTGCAAATGTGCGAAATATACAGCTAGCTTACAATAACTGTTTGACATTACATCGGTTTAGGACTTTTTAAGAGCTAACGTAAATGACACGGTGCAGATTTAAACTGCATAAGTTTCTGATGACAGTTCCACCTTTCTTGGAAAAGTCACATTGACCCACTCGTGACAGGTTCGCATTTCATCTAGCCTCATAATCTTAATTTTTTTAAATCATAATAAAAGTATAGAAAAAATATTAAATGAAGTTTAATGTGCCTCAGTTCAGTCGTGTAAAACTGTCTGTCAGCATTCATTATGCCTGTCAAAAGAAATATTATTTAAAACACGAATGCACACAAGGTCAGTGTATTATTTTCCAATAGACTATAATAGAGGTACATGTACTTATTCCATTTCAGGATATCATGTCTTCTGATCTTTCACCTAGATTCTGGAATAATTAATATGTTTTATAGTCATCATCACATGATTTGTTCTCGTTTAGAAACAAAATGCATAATTTCAAAAAAGACGTTTTACAGACTTACTCTACATCCATATTCAAACCGGTAATACAATAATTTGACAATTTCATGTTAACACTTGATATTGGACTTAAACAGCATGAAAAAGATAAATGGTATGTCAGCACTGATTATAAAATATGGTGTTACGATGTCCTTTTTAACAGAAAGTTAACAAATCACTGACTTTATAAAAGAAGATGGACACAGTTAACCACATTCGATACAACTCTGACACGATGGTGAACGTACTATCCCAAAATGCGTCTAAAGTATTGGTCAGCATTCTTCTTGGCATGCTTGAAGATAACAGAAATGTCGACCAAATGTTCAAATTTTTAGATCTTTACGGTACGTTCGGTTTGGAATTTTCCACAGTGGTGTCGCCTTATCTATGGATCTTGCCATTGTGTGCAACACTTTTGATGTGGAATATTTTTCGCAAAGGAAAGCTTTTTGGCATAGCTCAGAGGTTCCTGATTTTAGTATGTGCGTTGATGTTCTGTTCACTATGTTTATGGGCATCCGTGATGGACTTTTAGATTATATGGACATGAATTATGGATTCCTGGAATACAGGATCTGTAGACTTATGATTATTTCCAATGTGGTTCTAGAAGTAATTCATACAATATCCGTTCATCTCAAATGTCTGGCGACTTTAACTTAAGCTCTTTTATTCTCATTTCCCATAAAATTTAAATTTTATTTCAAAAGATTTAAGATATTACTTTGTGCTTGGTCCATTATTCATGTTATTGTATGTAGCTTACAGTTTATAATTCCATTCCGACAAGCTTTGATTTAATACCTGTTAGAATTGTACAGGAATATTTCTCTGAGCAAGCTTTAAAAATCATTGATGCGTGTAAAGCGGAATTTTTACGGGTCGAAACATGGGATTTCATCGTTAATATACAATTTCTTGACTTTATAAGTAAAGTATTTTACTTTAATTTTCTACCCATGGCTATTAATAGTGGCAGTACTTTTGCACTTTATATTGTTATGAATAAACAGATAAAAGTACTAGCCATACTAATGATAGGGCAAAAAACAAGTAAAGTCAAGTATTTGCGTCTACTTAAAGTCTATTTCTTATTGGGGAGTTCTTTCCTTCTGCAAGAGGTTCCAATTGCCATATTAAAGATTTACCTATTCATATCGTTGGATCATGTGGATATTACGCTTTCTTATTCTTCAATATTTCTTACGTATGCGTACGTTTACTTTATATTTGCAGTGAGCAAACCAGTCGAAATTTTTTTTATATGCAACACAAAGTAAATCTTTCAGAGTTCAACTGTTAAAATATTTAAATAGAAACGACTGCTAGTAACAAAGGATATAGTCAAATCAAACTGTTCAAATATTTGATCAATCGTTTTACCTTTAATATTGTTTAATACATGTGTGTTGATTTGGTTTACTAGTAATCTTTTATAATTAGGTGTAGTTTTTTGCTATAAATTTTGTTTGAACTGCTTGGATTATATTCGATTGTATTGATATTTGAATAAAAATCTTTCAATTGGTTGAGATATAATTGAATAAACAGATTTGTTTCGTGAATATGGCGTTATAGAAAATTATTGCTATGCTATAATGTTCCTTGACATGCATTAGCTCAACACAGTAAATATGTCTGCAGAGTAGTTGTTATTCAATTAAGCTTATTTTACTGATATTTTATAAAGACCCATGTCTCTAAAATATGATATACATGGAAATGTTTTAAGCTTCCAGCAGAAAACTTAAATTGGCAAAGTAAAAAGCATCTATAATGTAAATACTTTGAAAGAATTTACTACCTTGTAATTGGTGATTTGCAAAATTGATTGTACACAGAAGTACTCTAAATTCAACTTAAAAAAGATGCTTGAGTTTTTAATTGACAATATCTATGTTTTTTTTGGTGACCAGGTCTTCCAACCATCTATTGGAAATCCAATGGGTAACAATTGTGCCCCGTTAATAACAGACCTATTTTTGTATTCATATGAAGCATAATTTGTGCAAACCTTATGCATGATAAGAAGAAAA